GCACTTACCAGGTCAAAGCAGACGACAAGCGACACCAAACCGAATAATTTCGCCACTCCTTGGTCCAAAGGAGACGGTAAAAGGGTGATAAAGACGGAGACTAGCTACAGTGTTGGACAGGCATGGCCAGTTTCAATGCGAGTAGTTGGTTCGGTGGAATGGAGACAGTGTAAGTTACACACCCACAGCGATGCCAAAGACACACTGACCCCGCCTCTCTCGCAGCATTCTTCTCGACACACTTTCTTTTTTCCAGAATATTCCACTGACTTGTTTATATTCATGTGATTGAGTAGACATGGAAAAGGTGAATTGCACAAATCGATCATGTATTTAACATTTAACTACAAGGTAAATGTTATTTTGCAGCCATTGTTATCCATGTCATGCATTCAAATTTATTTTTGTCAAATTACTTCCAAATCAACTAATATTTACACTGTAAAGATAATAGAAGCAATCAAGGGACAGACATTTTTTAAAAAGTTTAAATCAATGTAATGCATTAACTTTGCACAATGACTTTGCATAATTTTAACGAAATGTTGGAATAATGCACTGAAACTTTTTATCATGAAAGAAAATTTCCAGTAGTATTGATTTAAAAAAAAAAAAAAAAAAAAAATATATATATATATATATATATATATATATATATATATATATATATATATATATATATATATATATATATATATATATAATGAAAGTAAACTGCCAGTAGTGGTTTAATGGGTGTATCTTTAAATTAATTGATTTGTTCAGATGGCTGATTCATTTAAGAATGAGGCAAAGGTATGTCTTTAAGAAGACTGTCCTGTGACCTAGTATGTGCATTTTTGCTTTGTTTTGACATTTTCAGAGTCTCCTTTACACACACTAACTGCGCTAGAGCGATGCAATTTTAAATTTTCCCAAGTTTAATGTTTATATGCTACTTATTTGGTCAGACAGACAAGTAAAACCCACAAAATTTGTTTTGTAATTTAGACTGTGGTTACTCTCTGTCAACACCAAATATAAACCTTAAATACACCATCCTAGTAGATGCATGTGATGAAATTCAAACACACACAGTTTGTGTACTTTTGGTTTGCATTATCTTCTAATAATTCATTAGTTATTTTTTATTTATAAGTAGGCCCACACCCAATCTGCACACACAGAAATCTGCAGATTTTATGCATTTACTTGAGTAAAGGTGTGTAAATTTGTGTATATTTGTTTAGTTTTTATATCCATTTCACTAATATTATTGTGATCTATTAAAAGAAATAATAAAATGTTCATATGATTCACATGAATACTGTTTGTAGAGTAATATTTTCTGTCTTTTAGTAGATATATTATATGTGAGATTTGTTTTGTTTACCAAATAAGTGGATCTAATTGGATTTGCATTGTAAACATTAAATAAAATTTTTATATATTTCATTCTAATATTTTCATATATTATTTTTTTTGTTACGATACTATTTAGTTACTTAGAAAATTATCTGCACAAATAGCAAAAATGTCCGCACATTCTGTTTGGCCCTTCTTATAAGTAATAACATGATGATATAATGCTAGAAAATATGGCTGAAGTCCGGTTACAAGCATTGAAAATAATATTGCATTACATGTTTAAAGCATAGCACATTTGTTTTCAGTAGTTGTCAGCAGTAGTTATATTTTCATCATTATTTACTGCAAGTTATTATTGGAAAAGTCAGCATTAATTACAAAAACGGATGCACAAATTAAATTATAATATGTTTATTTTCAACATTGCCTAAACTCTGCCCTGATAACACTGTTATATTATATGAAACTGTAGTGCCACTCAGTGTTTGATTTCATAAATGCAACATAAAACAGACAAGTTTTCATATTTGTTCATACTGCAGTTAACATATCTCATAGTGAATTGTTATTTTTGAAAAGGAATTCACTGTTGTTGAATTTTCAGTTCTGACTTTTCAGGTGTTAACATCATACTTTTATAATTCACTAATTATATACACTCACCAGCCACTTTATTAGGTACACCTTACTAGGTTGGACCGCCTTTTGCTTTTAGAACTGATTTAGTCCTCCATGGCATAGATTTAACAAGGTACTGGAAATATTCCTCAGAGATTTTGGAACATATTGGCATGATAGCATCACGCAATTGCTGCAGATTTATCAGCTGCACATCCATGTTGCGAATCTCCCATTTCACCACATCACAAAGGTGCTTTATTGGATTGTGGTCTGGTGACTGTGGAGGCAATTTGAGTACAGTTAATTCATTTTCATGTTTAAGAAACCAGTGTGAGATGATTTGTGCTTTAACATGGCGCGTTATCCTGCTGAAAGTAGCCATCAGAAGGTGGGTACACTGTGGGCATAAAGGGATGGACATGGTCAACACTCAGCAACAATACTTAGGTAGGCTGTGGCGCTGACATGATGCCTAATTGGTATTAATGGGCCCAAAGTATGCCAAGAAAATATCCCCCACACCATCACACCACTACCACCAGCCTGGATTGTTGATACAAGGCAGGATGTATCCATTCTTTTATGTTGTTAACGCCTAATTCTGACCCTACCATCTGAATGTCGCAGTAGAAATGGAGACTCATCAGACCAGGCAAAGTTTTACCAATCTTCTATAATCCTAAAATCTTAAATTCTTTAAAATCTAAAATCTAATTTAAAATCTATAATTTTGGTGAGGCTGTGCGAATTGTAGCTTCAGTTTCCTGTTCTTAGCTGACAGGAGTGACACTCGATGTGGTCTTTTGCTGCTGTTGCCCAACCGCCTCAAGGTTGGATGTATTGTGCATTCAGAGATGTTCTTCTGCATACCTCGGTTGTAATGAGTGGTTATTTGAGGTGCTGTTGCCTTTCTATCAGTTGGAACCAGTCTGGCCATTCTCCTTTGACCTCTGGCATCAACAAGGCATTTGCGCCCACAAAATTACCACTCACTAGATATTTTCTTTTTAGGACCATTCTCTGTATACCCAAGTGATGGCTGTGCATGAAAATTCCAGTAGATCATCAGTTTCTAAAATACTCAGATCAGCCTGTCTGGCACCAACAACCAGGCCATGTTCAAAGTCACTTAAATCCTCTTTCTTCCCCAGTCTGATTCTCAGTTTGAACTGCAGCAGATCAACTTGACCACGTCTACCTGCCTAAATGCAGTAAGTTGCAGCCATGTGATTGGCTGATAAGAAACTTGTGTTAACACGCTGTTGGACAAGTGTACCTATTAAAGTGTCCGGTGAGTGTAAATTCAGTGGTGATTATTTAAATGTGAATTGTGATATCAGTTTATGCTAACTTAAACAAGTTTTTAAGCATTGTTTGGTCTTATGTTACTGTTTTATGCTTTTAAATACATTGAGACTTATTTCTGTACCTTCTTTATTTACATTTAGTGGAGATGTAAGCAAAATAATCTTATTTCAAAACAAAAACAAGATTATAAGGACTTGCTTAATTTTTACTTATTTATACACACTCATACACTATACAGACAATTTAGCCTACCTAGTTCACCTGTACCACAAGTCTTTGGACGGTGGGGGACCCCCCACTGTTTTATATATTTAACATTTAAACAAACATGATAATTAAGCTTTTGCAAATGTTTTATTGAAGAATGGCATCTCTTCATGTCTGTTGTGAGTCACTTCGAATTGTTGGGGAATTCATTGTGTCTTAATGAATTTCTGATGTAAGTATTACTCTCATTTATATGCTTATTTGAGTGATTTTAGTATTATTATTATTATTATTATTATTATCTATTGTATTATTACCCATACCTGCTGCATTTTTATCAGGTATGTGTGCTTTGGTAAATGAAAAAGTCATTCTGTGTAAATGCAGTCAGAGATGAGAAGATAAATTAGAACAGCAGCATTAATGTCACTATGAGGGTAGATTTAAGGATGCAAGGCAATAAGGACACCTGCGTTCTGTTCTGTAACTCATAATAAGGCACCTGCATGTGTGCCCACTCTCATTTGTACTGACATCTAAAAAATTATGAGTACCTTCAGCTGAACTTACAGTTGACAGCTCAGTGAACAGTGAATAATATATACTGTTGAGCATTTCTTTTTGGCTGAGTCATCACTTTTTTAAACAGGAAGGAAATACCTTAACTAGACATGGGTAAGACCCCTGAAAGACCCTGAGATTCTATTGGTGGAGGGCATCTGAGAGATTTTAGATCCCATTTGCGGAGAAGCTGATGGAGGTGTGTAATGTTTAAATTTGTGTGGAGTATTAAGACAACAAAATGTATTTAAACTGTGTGCAAGCCTGTGTTCGGCAGACACTCGAATGACCTGTCTCTGTTGTTACTGATGCTGTAACAATAAACTGCTTTGCCCAAAGACTTCGGAGATCTCAGACTTTGTCATTTTTTTTGAAAAGTTTGATTTAGACTTAGAATATTTTGCAGACCAGAATCTTTTTTCCACAACAGAATCCCAAGGTGTTTTTAAAACCCAGAGGAGACAAAAAGAGACCAATTTTAACTGCTCACTATCCTAAACTTACACATAAATAGATGTATTTTGCTACCTTTGAATAAATAAAGGCAGTTTTATTTTATTTATTTGATATTTGGATTTAATTTGATTTACTGTCTGTTTAACAGGCTGACATATTGCAAGTGGTTAGAACTTTACATGTGTGTGTAATACATGTGAATACACTCATTTTCAAATCAATGGCTTTTAAATAATGAAAAAAGAAAATGTAAAGCTCATTTCATAATTTGTCAAACCTATCATCATAAATAAAATGTTATTGAGATTAATTTATTATTTTATGCAAGGTGATGGAACCTTTTCAAGCAAGTTGGAATTCTTTCTGACCCACAAATATCTTTCTTCCCTTAATGTTTAAAAAACTGATTAATACACAAATAAGCATTAAAAAAAAGAATAACACACAGAGAATAATTTTAAAGTGACAACATTTATTGACACAAAAAAACAAGAATAATCCTAAAAATAGGTTGCAGAGTGGAACCTTGAAGGCAGAGGAGGGCTTCTTTTTACTGACCGAGCCCTCTTCATCTTGACATCCTCAACATCAAATGGAAAAAACATGAAGTTTGAAGGAAGAGCAGGTTGCTCAGGAACATGAGCTGCTTTCAGAGCAGGCAATTTTGTAAACACGGGAACATGCAGAGGCACATGTTTTCCCATCTTCACTCCACTTGTAAGACGTGGCAGGCTGGGTAAGGAAAGGTGAGACTTAACTTTCCAATCAGACCCACATGAAGGGTCAGTGCCAGTCCTCTCTGCCTTATTCACTAAAGGAGGAAACCTCGACGTTTGATGTTCTGGTGCTTCGACAATGAACTTCTGTCCACCCAAAAGCTTGACAGGAGCACAGCGTGGCCTCAAAACAGGCAAGTGTTTGGAAACAGCTGCAGGATGCTGGGATTTGCCTACTCTTACTGCCAGATAGGATGATGAACACTCAACACTGACATTCAGGTCAGACTCATATGGAGGATCTTTCAGTGAAACTTTCACCTGATTCTCACAAGACCCCATGCCCAGCCATTCTGAGGGTTCATCTGTGAAGCACTGCTGGTTGACAGGCTTCACAGGAACATGGTTTGGCTTCAGAATGGGCAGTTTTGAGCGTGGAGCATCAGGATGCTGCTGGAAAAGCCTACGTTTATCCATCCTCACTGGTCTGCTCCCAGAAGGAGGCAGAAGAGATGAGGAACAGCAAACGCTGGCATTCAGATCAGACTTACACAGATAGCTGAAGTCTTTCAGTGACACTTTCATCTGATGCTCTGGAGGTCTATCATTGAATTTCTCTCCACTGACAGGCTTCACAGGAGCACACTTTGACTTCAGAACTGGCAGTTTTGAGCGTCCAGCAACAGAATGCTTGCGGACAGGTGTACGCTTGTCCATCCTCACTGGTTGGCTGCCTGAAAGGGCAACAAAAATGAGCAAGGGGCAACACTGACAGTAAGGTCAGACTCACATGAAGGGTTGATATTTTTCACTGTACCTTTCTTCATATGATTCGACCCCACGCCCAGCCATTCTGAGGGTTCATCTGTGAAACTCTGCTGGTTGACAGGCTTCACAGGAACACACTTTGACTTTAGAACAGGCAGTTTTGAGCGTGGAGCATCAGGATGCTGACGGAGAAGTGTATGTTTATCTGTTCTCACTTCTCGACTCTCAGAATGGGGCAGCAGAAGAGACGAGGAATGTTCAATGCTGGCATTCAGGTCACGTTCACATGAAAGATAGTTAATGTCTTCCAGGGAAACTTCCATCATATGTTTAAGAGACATCACTCCTCGACGTTTTGGAAGCCCATGACCATCAATGAACTTCTGCTTTTCAGCAGGTTTCACAGGAACATGGCACAGCTTCAGAACAGTCAAGTTTGAGCATACAACCTCAGGATGCTGATGGAGAGGTGCACTTGTGTCCATCCTCACTGCACTGCTCCAGGAATGGGGCAGATCAGACGAGGGACACTCAGTATCGGCGTTCAGATCAGACTCGGGTAAAAAGAAGCTGACACTTTTCACTGAAACTTTCATCTGACGCTTAGGAGAGCTCACGTCTCGATGTTCTGGAGATCGTGGCACGCATTGACTGTTAGACCACATGTTGAAAAAGAAGTGGTGTGAAGATTATATCACAACAACAACGACGACAACAAGGATTCAATAAGCGATTAGTAGCGACTGCCAAATGCTCTGTAACTCTGTTCACCGTGGAATGGCTTCTATGATGTCAACATTCTTTTATAACGTTCTCGTGCCTTCAAACCTGTGACGTTCTTTCAGGCATCATTTAAATCTCGTAGAATAGCCCATATTCACTTATATAGGCCTTTTATTTACATATTACATTTGTTTTGTTATGTTTAAATTCATCAAATCGGTTCTCAATTTACTCTGAGCGCATTTTTTAAACGACAGATTTAACGCTATCAGATTTGGGGCATATTTTAATATAGCAGGTCTACTGCATAAATGAAAGTATGGCTCCCTCTAGAGGTGAAAATCATATTTTAGGCCATTATTGAATAAAAATCAGTTATTCCTCTCCCTTCAAGTATTATGGAGGACGAAACCTACAAAAACAATAAATAAATACGCAAACATATAAATAAATGACTAAATAAATCCAAAAATTCCTGGGCGGGGATGAGGGTACACTTATGTAATTATTTACTTGCTCGCACTATTAATTATTTGTATGTATGTATATATATATATATATATATATATATATATATATATATATATATATATATGTATTTAATATGCATTTATTTGTTTATTTGCATATTTATTAATTATTTTATTTATGCAGGAATTTCTTTACTCATTTATTTATATATTTTCATATTTTTAAAATTGTTTTTGCAAGTTTCGTCCTCCATAAGTATGTAGTTTTGTTCAATTCAATAATTGCTTTATTGGCATGACAAAAGTGACAAATGTTAAGTTTACTTTAAAAAGCAGGCCCGAAGCCAGGGTGGGTTCAGGTGGTTCGAAAGACCCCCTGTGACATGACAAAGTCCAGAATTTGGTCTATACATGAACTGATTTGTTCCATTTTTGACTACTAAGCCATCATAAATTGCCTGAAAAGAACACACACACACACACACACACACACACACACAAACACATATAGATTAATTAATTAATCTATGCAGGGTGATGGAACCTTTTAAAGCATGTTGAATGACTGTTTTGCTTGTTTTATCTACTGTATGATTGAATAGCAATAGTGTAATTACACTTTTGTGTTCTTAATCTTTATGTCAAGATTTTTATATAAACTCATTAACTCTATAAAATTGTTTTTTAATAGAATTATACTGCTATTTATTTATTTATTATATATAATTATATTTAATTTCTATTCTATTGTTGGGTTCCTATTTGGTGCCATTTTGAATTATATCTGACATTTTTGTCAAAATTGAGTTATTGACATATTTTTATTAAATGACAACTTATTTACATTATGGGATGATTTTTTATAAGTTGTTTACATTTTAAGACTTTTTATTTAAAAAACAAATGTTACACACACACACACACACACACACACACACACACACACACACACACACACACACACACACACACACACACACACACACACACACACACACACACACACACACACACACACACACACACACTGTACTGTTTGCTGTATGGAATGCAAAAACTTTGAAGCTCAATATCTCAAGGTCATTCAGAACACAGATAGAACCTTGTAATTCCAAGGTGACGATTTGTGTCCCCAAGGGATTATATGGTACAGAATATTTAAAAATGCAATTTAAAAAATCCTTAAAGCCTGAGATGATTAATACATTTCCACAATAAGAAACAATGATAAGTGCTCCAAAATAAATTAAATTTAAAGTAATTACTCTAATTCCATGCAAGTAGCTGAATTGCCATGTCCCAGGTCATGTATGCTCATGTTCAGTTACAAATATAACTTTAAAAAATCTAATAAATACTAGACTTTTCATTGAATTTATGTTGTCATTTATATTTTCACACCAATTTTTTCAACACATTTCTAGAAATAATAGATTCATTAACCCATTTCTAATAACTGATTTATTTTATCCTTGCCATGATGACAGTAAATAATATGTGACTAGATATTTTTCAAGACACTTCTATACAGCTTAAAGTGACATTTAAAGGCTTAACTAGGTTAATTAGGTTAACTAGGCAGGTTAGGGTAATTATAGGCAAGATATTGTATAACAATGGGTTGTTCTGTAGACTATTGAAAAAAATAGCTTAAAGGGGCTAATAATTTTGACATTGAAAATGTTTTTTAAAAAAATGCTCACATTCCTCAAAACATAAATATATTTATCTCTAATTAAAAAAAATAATTGTGTAAAAATTGTGTTTACAGTAACTCATTCTTAATGTAAAACATTTTTAAAAATCAAATATTAAAACCTAACTTATTTTAGCATGATGTCCAGATCAGAAAAAGAAATTATTGAGATTGCCATGGTTTGCTTGCAATTACATTAAAACCATATTAACTTATTTAACTAAAAATTAAAAAAAAGTTTTTTTTAAACGAATAACTTATATGTATTCATAACGATAATAAAATGTATATTATTTGGTGTATAAATTTTGATTTAAGTCCATCTTGAAAAAAGATACTGTATTAAAATTGTATTAAAATCGCCAATAGGTGGCAGAAAGTCCATGTCATAATGAGCAATTCATTCAATTATTCAAGCGATCCCTTAAAACGGCCGATTCATTCAGAAACCAAGCAAAGTTGAATTGAATTGAATGATCCATTTGTAAATTTTTATATGAATTCATTAAACATTAGATTTTTTAAACTTTGTCTTATTGTATTGTTTATTTTGCAAAATCACCCGCTGGTCTCCTGTAAATATCCATACAGCAACTACTCGATACTGTAATTGATACAAAAATAATCAAGACTCACTCAACGATTTACTTAAATGTTTATTGCTGTGCTCGAAGATTACACTCCTTGGACTTAAGTTGTGTTTGGTGGGTCAGTCCAAACACAAAGAATCAAACATTTCTAATATTTATTATTTAAATAGTAAAACGACAACTCTGTGATACAATAGGCTTCACTAATAAATCCTCAACAAGCTAGACTAGGCAAGATGCTCTATACACAAGAGCCTATATTCTGTGTGCTTATACATACAATCTGATGTACAAGAAGAGACGAGAAACATTCCATTTACCAAAAAGAAAACGAAAACACAGTCATACCAAAACAAGAAAACAATAGCTTGCAAAACCTGCACACCTCAAAGAGGAGGCACATGTAGTTCAGAATGTGCTGATAAGAGGGCCGATGTTAAATAATAATAAAAAAAGCTTCATTTTAAACACAGGCCCCAAAGTTCATGTGCTCTTCGTATGGTGGTACATGTCCACCGAGGAATAAAGTATGTGTGTAAATAATATAAAGTAAATGCATGATATGATTTAAATGGTTTATATTATGTAGTTGTCTCTTTCATTTCACCATGAAGTACCAAATTCCAAAGCAAATAAACTATACTTATAAACTTTATACTAACGTATAAAATAAACGAAAGTTCCTCCGGCACTTTTGGGCAGATCAATGAGAAACATTTTTATTTTTTGAAATAAGTGAAAAACACTTTGCCTCCTTTTACCAGCCTGAATGTTGGCAAAGAATATTATAAATTCTTTGTAGACATTATATACACCTCCTCGATATTTCAGTTCTTTTGTACTGTGAGAACTCTAAGATCTACTTTGACACCTGTGGATAGAAGATCACAGTAGTTTCAAACCAGACAGTATCCAAAATATAAGTGTCAAGACCCTTTATATGCCACGACACAACGACCAAGAACTGATGCTTCAGAAAACATTACACATTGTAGGAATGTAATGATCGCTTCTTACATTCTCTGCCATAACTGCACATTTGGCTCATAAGAAACATTTGTGTAAGACTATACATTATTCCACATTAATATAACTTCATAAAATAGACCGGTGTGCTTTATAAGCTTGTCTGGGTATATGCTTTGTCATGCTTTTAAAAAATTGGTCCTCTGGTCATCCACAGTTCACTGGTAGTGTCATCCCACAATGCTTTTAGCCTTGTGCATAATGTAGAACATTTAGGCTTCAAACGTCCTAAAAAAATGACAAGAAACAAACATTGTTAAGGTGTTGCACTGTCAGAAAATCCTAAAAAGAGTACAAAAATTCTGTCATTCTTTACTTAACCTTCACTTCTTGAATCCCTATTTAAGTTTCTTTCTTCTGTTGAGCACCAAAGATATTTAGAAAAATGCTGGTAGCTGGCACCTATTGACTTTCATAGTATTTTTTTCCTTCTATGGAAGTCAATCCCAGCCAGAGTTTTTCAAAATATCTTCTTTTGTAAGAAACTCAAAATTGTTTAAAACTACATGAGGGAGAGTAAATGATCATGTTATTTTCAGTTTTGAGTGAACTAAACCTTGAAAAATGCAGAAAATATTTTTGTCTGTTTTGTCTTTTGCAGAGTAGGGTTGGATTGATAGATGATTTTTTTTACAAAGCAAGTTTGTCGACACTATTATAACGACACAGATCACTGCCTATTCATGCCAGAGTCCTGTGAAAAAAGTGATTGACAGGTGGTAATTTGTGTGTACCTTATTTTTATTTATTTATGGTTTAGCTATGGGTAAACCAAAGACCATGCGGGCCAGGTAGTTGAAACAGTAGGCTATAAAAATTTATTTGTTATGAATTAATTAGTTATTCATAAATAAT